TGATACTATTGTCATCACTAAATCAAAAAAATAATTAATCATTAACAATATTTAAAAAAAGGTTTGCGTCACGGGACGCTCGACAGAAGTGATGTCTTCATATTGTTTATAGAAACCATAAAATATCGATCTTGTTTAACGCATGATGGTGATACTAATTTATAATGTCAACATTCTTGTTAAAGTCTAGTAATTTATAAATGGAGGAATAGGTAAAATGTAATTTAATTTTCTTTTGAATGTAAAAATTATATTTTATTTACATTTAATATTCTTCACTAGTTGGATTTGACTCGCTGGTATTTACGTTATCATTATCTAATCATATAAAAGTGACAATTGGTTTATAATAACTGTAATAAGAACTGAATTGTGATTTTATCTTGCTCTATTGAAGCTTGTTTTGGATTATTTATCATCTATAATTGTAACTTTTATTTAATAAAATACATTAAATTTTGGGCTCTATCAGAACAATCAACATTAAAATCTCCACTTAGAATGAAGGGTAAGGTATGGGAGTTTTGGCCAAGCAAACCGGAGTCTTAAGGCCGGTCGTCCTTTCAGAGTTTTCGTCCGAACTGCGTCCGTCAGAAATCGTGCGAGAACGAGCGTATAATCCAATTTCATTGCAACGTACTGGAGCTCGTCGACCATTGCGATGTGCGAACTATCAGAAACGTATGGGATTTATTCGCAGGTTTGCAGTATTTCTGACTGAATAGCGAATATTTTTAACACACTGAGCTGAAATGGATGTTGAAAAACCAATAAGTATTTCTGATTATTTTTAAGATCTTCAAATAAATGATGGAATTATCCAAATTCTTTTCTTGTTTCTGTTGTTTCTGGTTGCTAATGTATCAGCAACCCAATAGTTTTCTTCTTTTTAACTAATCGTCTTCTCACAAGATAACTAGTTCCCGAAAGAAAATAATTCATTACTATTAACAGTTGTATAATCACAATTATTATTATATAATTACTCTGTTATAAATGTACTTATTTGATGCATGACAAGACATGACCAATTTGTACGATAAGAAAAACTTCCAGTGGAAGAATCCCCACATATGCGAAATCTGATGTTGTCGTTCCAAAGAAAGGACGTCTTTCCATTTTGCTTACAATGGTTCGTGCGATTTCGAACGAATTATTTAGGTATCTAGTGGACGAGCGTCACTACGTTGCAATGAAATTGGATAACTAGCTCATTTTCGTACAATTTCTGACGAAATTCGGACCAAACCGCATCCAGATGACCGGCCCACAGACTGCACACTATTGTACACTACATACTACACACTATTATATTCATACGATCGGCTTAATGGAAGGTCTAAGGTTTGTGGGCGGCTGTGTGCGTGCGAGAGAGAACTGCGCACTTGTCTTTATCTTAACAGAAATACCTGCGCCGTAACTCACTCCAGTCCATTTTAACACCAAAAGTGTGAAGCTTTCGCGGCAACTACTGGAAACTTGTGGTTTTTTTCTTGCTTTTAGACCTTTGTGGAAAATATGATCTTTCTGACGATCCGTATCTTCCGAAGTGTTTTGCTCGAAATCTTGCACTGGACTGAGTAAGCTGCAAAACACTCTCTGAGGATGCAAGCCACTCGTGCTTGCTCAACGTCAGGTAAAGT